ATTACTAGTTATCAAGTTATTCATCATCAAAGTTTGAGTAAAAATAGTAAAAATTTATATTAAAAAAATTTGCATTTTTATATATATATATAACTATATTATATAATATATATTATATATAGGATCTGATAATTTCTCTACCCCCCACTCCCCTAAAAAATCAGCTGATAAATGGTGCTTCTCTTATAGAGGTTAATTTATTATTATTTAATAATAGTTTGTTTTTAAAAAAACAAATTTACAAAGAAAATATGCTTATATAGGAGGTGACTATAGAGAGGTCTAACTGTATATAATTTACTAAATTTTTGATATTTTAAATAAAACTTCAAAAGATAGTCAAAAAAGCTAAATAAGTTAATATGAAAATCACATTTTTTAAAAACTATCAATATATAACTTGAAATTTTAATTATTAAATAAAACTACAATTTGTACTCTAATATAAAAAATTCTAATTTTTATTCTGACTTTAATGTATACTTTTTATTACACATATTGAAATTAGTTTGATTTAATGAAGAGATCTGATTGGTATATATTTGTTGATATCTCAAGCTAATGAATTTTTTTTTGGTATTAAGGTAACTTTATTGGCCTTGAGACTTTTTATTAGAGTATAGATAATGTTTTATATATACTTTTGATGCCTAATTTAAGTAGTTTATCCAAGGCATTAGTGCTATGCTAAGGGCTCTACACTATCTGCTATATCTGTACTTCAACTATGAAGGCTGCCTATTTAAACTATCTGGTTCTAACTATCATCCTTTTTAAATAAACTCTTAATTCCGGTCTTAGGCTTTAAAAATAATAATAATTGCATATTCTCTATATATATATATTTTTAAATCTTTGACAGTCTTGCTAATACTCAATTTATTAAAACTATATTTGGTAATAATAAACCATCTCGAACAATACATATATCATTCCTAATTTAAACAGAAAGTCTTGCAATTGCGAGCCTAATATCACTCAGCTACAATAAATATATGTGACTTGTTATACCAACCTGTATACAAGTTAATTAGCTTGTCAAAGCTTTTCTTTTTATATTCTTTTTTTTTACTAAAAGCAAAAGAAAATGATAATCTTATATCTAATACAAACCACCAATAATACCAAGAAGACAAAATAAAAAACTAATTAAAAAAAAACAAATAAAACAAAGGAGAATTTTTAATGAAAAAATAAAAGAAGATACAATAAAATATAAAAAAAACAAAACAAAAAGAAAAGCCCAAGAGCTGACAAAAAAGGAACTATCTCTATTAAGAAATAATATAAATAGAATGAAAAAAAAAGAAATATACTATTATAACCTGTGCTAGATTTAAGAAAAAATTTTATAACAACTACAATATTTGTATATCTTAACTATAGTAAGAAATCTTAACAAATTATTATCTGACTACTGGCCACCTCCAGATATTTCTTATACTAGAGACCCAATTCCAGTCATATGGAGGACTCTGTATTCACAATTACATCACATATTGTATCCACTAATAAACAAAGCACATAGTTGCATTCCTGAATATGTCCGAATTTGGGAGATAAACAATGCCAATCTTTTGAAGAGAGTAAACCAAACCATTCACTTTTTGTCAAAAATTTTGGAAAAGACTAGCTAAGCGAAAAACACCTAGAGAGAGACCACTTGTACCTAAGAAAAGTAGTTATATCTATAGAAAAACTCAACAACTTCAAAACTTTCTTCTAGAAAAGAGGTGAAGCATCTATGTATTACTTTTAGTGAGTGATAAACTCTGAACTTGTCAGCAAGTAGCATATAAAAACTACTTCTAAATGACAAGTACCATGCATGCAGTAAGTAATAAACTCTAAAGAAGTTAGCAGGTAGCATATAAGAACTACCTCTAAATAGCAACTGCTGACTTATCGCTACTAGTATACTCTCTGTTTTTACTATATGCTATTGTATTTTTACAAAATATGTGGTTGGATTTTTGGTACAGATAATTGTCATAAAGAGTTGATGATTTTTTTAATGTGATTTGATTAAATAATTAATTTAAAATAATTTTTTATTTTTATTAAATTTAGTATATAAGCCAAACAAATATCTATTAAAATATAACACCTTCTAGTTATTTAACCAAAGAGACAATATTTTAAAAAAAATTTATTTTATTACAATATATTTTATAAATATTTAATAACTATAAATAAAACCACTACATTTTGTATAAAAAAAACTTATACAACCTAACCAACTAAAAAATAAATTTTAGATATAGATAGCTAAATACTAGTGCTTTGATTTACAATTTGTCAAATAAGAATTAATTCAACAATTTAGATTAAATACAGATATTCTTATCTGTAAATTTAAACAGATAGTTCATAATATATCTTGGATTGAGAATAAGAATTATTCGAATTATAATTTTTGATATACTATATTTATTAAATGCAGATACCATCTATGGCATATATCTTTTACTGGTTTTAAGAGCTAGATGATGATTTATACCTAGTGTATATAAATATGGTATACCGTAAATTCTCAAAATAATGCCCAGGAGTAAAATTACGAAATTTGGCCTAAATTAAGCTTAATTCAGGCCAAAACTCAAAATAACGCCCATGCCCGTTATTTTGAGAATTTATGGTATATAATAAAATATATTGTTCAATATAGTGTAGAAATACTCAGGTACAAAGATTGAGCTATGTAAATGCCCAGGATACCCACATCCGATAAATATAGTATATGTGCTGTGCTTAAATTAAATTAGCAGGGTTGCACTTTTTTTAAAAAAAAGTATAATTGCTTACTATGATAATCATTACATTATAAAACTTAAAGTGTATCTAACTCAACCATATTCAGGATTCTTAAAACCCTGATTCAGATAATAAAATTTTGTCATGCTTCAGGTTAAATACCCACTTGGTAACTCTAATTCTTAATTTGTAAATGATATATGCGAAATTATTGGGGCTCACTGTTAAAATATATATATATTTCGCTCTCAGTCATCAAATTTGTGTGTATCTAATGAACGTTCTTAGAAAATAAGGTACCTTGAAGAAAAGATTATGATTTTATTACTGATCCGAATTTAGATTCGGATTTACCTGGATTCGAATTACTAACCGGATGTATTAAAGGGCATACAGATTTTATCCGAATTGCCCTACTAAATACTATAATTCGAGTCTCAATACTTTTTTAAGTAATTTGTAATCGGAAACTTGTAATTGTAACCGGAGGCGCTTTCACAAATGAACAAAGATTGAAGCAAATCTCGAACACAAAAAAAAAATATATAAAATAAAAATAAAAAATCCTGATTCTTCTATTGATACTAAAGATGTACCCACGTGCAAGCGATCATTCTTATGCGAATAAATTTTCGCCCCGCATGAAGTCATCTCACTTCTCATCTCATGCGAGGTCATATGGGACCTTTGCTATCAACATGACTATGTTGATTTGTGAATAAAAATTAAATTTGCCAGCCATCTAGTTATCCAATTTTTTTTAATTTGTAGATTTTATTGAGATTTACAAAATAAAAAAAAGTTTACTCAAATTGGATTACTAGATAGCTGGCAAATTTAATTTTTATTCACAAAATCAACATAGTTATTTTGATAGCAAAGATCCCATATGATATGCTAGGTTTATCGCGCGAGAGGCACATCTCTAGTTAATACAAAAATATTACTTTGACATGCATGGCCGTCCGCGTGATTTGTACGTACGTACATAGGCTTTGAATTTAAACATGTGATACGTAATGTGGTACAGATGTGTGTGCAAGTAAATTAATGATCTCTGGTAAACTCATGTCTCTAATTTTATTATGACCTCTGCAAACATCGATCAAACAGTTTTCATTAAATTTGAACAATACGATTTCGATAAAGATCAAAATTTTCAGGTAAATCATTTATTGATATATACAGATTGTTTTACAATGAGAATTTATTATCTAACACATTAGCCCAATTAAGGCCGGCCTTCCGTCAATTCTTGCTTCGCATCAAAATAAACCACAGGAAGAATTAGATAAACTTCAAGAGAAAGCCAAATGGTTTTATTTTTCAAAGTAATAAACACATTTAATGTTTCCTCATATAATTATATTAGATAATGAAAAAAAGAAATTTTAATTCACCTGGTCAATTTATCAGAGTTGTTCAAAAATTCGATTATAATGAATATCTAGCATGGAAGTCAAATAAATCATCTGCGTTTGGGTCATCAAAAAACCAAAACACGTCAAGACAAGATGTTACAACAGATGGTAAGTCTCATCTGACGTTCAAAAAGTTTTATTGGCATTTTTTTTCTTAATTCTTTTCGAACGAAACATAGAAACACCGCAGTATTCGAGAACCTTTCAACAGGTGGTGGAAATGATACGCAATAATCAGCCGATACCAGGTATAAGTGTCCAATGTTTAATAGCCTTCAAAAATTTTGTATGCACATACTAATAAAACGTCTCACTTTCAACCATTTCTAAAAATAATAGGAATCAAGGCAATACCTGATAAAATTAATTCTGGCACTCCTTCTACTTCTACAATAAAACCACGACCTAAGCCATGGGAAAAATGAAAAGAGAATACTTCCGAAACCATATAAATTATGTACGTACGTATCTGCTTAATTATAAATTATATATATATGTATACAATTGTTCTTAGCATATCACTTAATTAGTAAATATAAATTAGGAGATCAGTGATATGTGATATCAAATTTTTTTTGACCAATAATAAAATATAGGCTGCAAAAATTTTAAAGTATAGTTTTCGTCATGTCAATCGATAATAATGTTGAAAAAAATGAGTGTGATCTTTCGAACAGTCATATTAATAATGACAACATTAACCTCTCGGAAATATTTAATTTTCAATTCGAAAGCAAGGAACAGATTGATAATTTAAAGGAATCGAAAAAACTTGACAGTGATGCATCGAATCAAAGTCATGACCAAATAGATGAAGTATCCACCGAAAAAACTTGTGTATTAAGAAACGATTACGATGGGTGGTTTCATACATCAATGCAAACAAATAAATTACTCACACAAAAGCTTGGACCAAATCGATTAAAGCAATCAATAGAATATCATTATTTTCATAAAAATTATAAAGAAGCATTAAGATTATCTCTTGAGTACACTGACTTTGTTGAAAGTTGCAACGTTAAAGGAAGTAACGAATTAAATCCGAACAGATTGACTAATACGCGTGATATGTTGGAAATCGCAGCTCGTAGTGCTTTAAAATTAGGAAATATCGAACTTGCAGTAAAATGTGTTGACAAATTGGCAGGTGTCTTTTTTTTTTTTTAAAAAAAAAAAAAGAGCTTTTCATTTTATAGCAATTAATTTTGTTACATCCATTAGTCATCTAATGAACCTGGGCACATGAGTTTTAAAGGAATGATTTATGCTCAAGGGGGACGTTTTTCAGGTGAATAATTTCAAATTTAATTGGCCATCACTATATAAATCGAACTTAATTTATACTATTTAGATTCCATAAAATGCTATATAAAATATCATCAAATGCGTAAGAATGATTATAATACGTGGAAAGAAATAGGAAACACATTACTTTCTTATTATTTTCAAAAAATATTATCACAATCGTCTGATTTTCAGAGTTATTCACCTATAATCGCCAACACGTTTATCACACAAGTAGCTCTTTTATCTTTTCACCGATCTCTTAAAATAATGACAAACTCAAAGTGGAAAACTTCTCTTCCTTTTATAAATTCACGTTATACCCGAGAAAAAAACCAAATAGAAGAGTTGATAAAACGATTAGAACATATAGATGCTCAAGAAGCCTTCTCGTTTCTGGAGAAGCACTGCGAAGGTGAATTATTTGGGTTTGATGTGGATATTATTAGATGGATATTAATGGAATGTAAGACCAGCGTTAGTGAAGTTTTGGAAATGGATAAAGAACGATCGGTGAATGAATTGTAATTCTGAAATAAGAAATAATTTATAACTGAAGCAGTTGGAATAGAAATGATGAAAATGCTTGATCTTGTGATTCATGAATTTTGAAAAAAAGGTTTAAGATAATGAATTCGTTGATATAATAACTATTAATAGTGTGAATTTCTTGTACTATTTCGTTGATAATTTGTAATGATGAAATTCGGTAAATTTTCAAATAGATAGTTATCTGTTATCATTCATGTTCGTAATTAGAAACAAACAATTCAATAGCGGGATAAGGTCTTGTAGTGATCATTTGCCTTTTTCTTACTTCTAACCCTTCAATCTTTTTAAATTTAAAATTTCTAATGTATATTGCCAACAAAATTTTAAATTCTGTAAGAGCCAGTTTATTTCCTATACAAGATCTGGAACCTGTTATAAATGGCATATATGTATAGTTATTGACTTTTGAAGTTAAATTTGAAAGCAACCATCTTTCTGGTATGAATTTATCGGCATTTGATCCCCAAATTGTAGGAAGTTTATGAATTGCTGCTATCGGTATGATAATTGGAGTATTCTGTAGCATAAGTCATGAAGTGTTATTTATTTGCTAAAAAATTATATTAAAGAAAACTTATGATATTTTAATACCTTTGGAACCAAGTATTCTTGTAAGGTATCGTCTCTTGTAGGTGTACGGGTGATGATTGGGACTTTTGGAGACAATTGTACATGTTAATAGTATATTATTATCATTATTATCATTATTATCATTATTATCATTATTATTATTATTATTATTATTATTATTATCATTATCATCATTATTATCATTATTATCATTATTATTATTATTATTATTATTATTATTATTATTATTATTATTATTATTATTGATATGAATGTTTATTAACTACCTGGCGGAACAATTCTCATGGATTCTTTAATAACACAATCCAAATATTCTAAAGAATTAATTTCGTCAAATGTTGGCTCAAAATTGGGATCAGGAAATGCCTCAATTAATTCTTCACGAAGACGATTTTGAATCTCAGGATATTGTGCAAGTAAATATAATGACCAAGAAGCCGCAGAACTTGTGGTTTCATGTCCCGCTGTTAAAAATGTCATAATCTAATTTTTTTTTTTCAAATATATATATATAATATAAGAGCATATTAGCAGTTATTAAATTACTTAAATTATTATTATTTAGTGTGTTAATTCTTACTTGATACTGTAATTCCGTATCAGACATTTTTTCCGCTTCAGGTAAATTTTCGTTGATACTAACTAATAATGACAGCAAATCTTTGCCTATCGGTTTTCCTTCTATAAAAAGCTCTCGTCTTTTTTTTACCAATTTTAAAGAGGCTTTTTCAATAATTTTAATGCATCTTCGTATTTCACGGTTTCTTGGTAATGGAAGCTTTCTAATCCATGGAATGTAATGTACTAAAACCGAAACTGCCACATTCAATGCTGTTCTTTTTTGATGAAAAATCCGTGCATAAGCATTTGATAATTCGTTTTCTGATGTGATGTTGTTGAATTCATGTTTAAATCCTACACATTATATAATTATAAATATCCATTCAAATCAGAAGTGAGAATGCAGTGTTTGATTGACTTACCAACCAATCCAATCATGTCTAAAGCTACTTTTGATAAGAATGACGAGATGATCAACCGCTTTTCTTCTTTATCGCCAATTTGATTTTTCCACATTTCTTTTGACTGATGTGCCACACGGACAATTGTTGGCACCATTTCCTATCAATTTATTTGAAATGAACTTTCAATTACAGTGTGCCTAATTATAAATCAAAATGTATTATTACCTTAATATTTGTAAATGTGAACGCAGGATTCATCATTTTTCTTTGTCGTTTATGAGCATCACCTTCGGCCATCAATATTCCATCTCCCAATATTGCTTTAAGATCAGGTACCATATAGGAAGGTTTTGGAAAATCATATGCGTTGTTAACTAAAATTTTTTGTAAAAGTTGAGGATCCGTGACCGAAATTATCGGTCTATTCACGATGCCATGATAACAAACAATACCACCATATTTTACAGCCCAGTCAAATTGTGGCTCAGCGGGCTACGAAGGAATTATGGTTTGAAAAACATTTGGTCTTTAAATATCGATGTTATATCATATAGTTTTATTGCTTTTTTAGTAAGTACAAACCTCATCGTTTACCAATCTTATAACATTTCCCAAGAGAAAATGATCGATTGGTGGTCCGGGTATTTTACATGTAGGAGATAAATATAATGGATACCAATAGAATCTATACATGATAACTCCTACAAAACAGACAACGTATCCAACCCAGTTATCGATCATTTCTTATAAAAATATACCGTATAAATTATTCGTCTTGAATCTTTTAAATGATTTTAAAATAAAAACTAGTTTATTACAAGTAAGTACTCTATTTATGCCAATTTAGTTTTTAACGTAACGGTAATTGTTTATCATTGCAGCTTTGTCTAACTAACTTTAAATACCAATATATCCATTTTTTTTTGTAATGTACTGTTATTCAATTTATAAGTTCTTATATGAAATAATTAAGTATTTTTTAAAATATATATTTATTTGACATATAGATGATACCACTACCCAAATTTGATATACTGTAACGTGAGATGGCAACTATTCAAATATTCAAAATATTACAAACGGCTTTACCGCAAAATCCCGAAAGACAGATTCTCGAAAGGACCTAATATCGACAAAATTAGCCGACATTAGTTATTATGTTGGCCAATTTAGTCGGTATTATGTTCTTTGGGGAAAATGGTTTTCGGGATTTTGTGGTAGAACAATTACAAACTGGTGTTAACACTTATTGCAAATTTTATACCACTTAACTATAAAATTTTATTTTGTTAAACTTCCGTTTGTAATTGAACTATCAGCTATATAAAAAATACTATAGTATTATATGGTTTATATTTTTTTTATTGTTAATGTTAAATTAGTGGAATTTAACTCTTTCTGATAATCACTTGCACCAAATTTTCTAACCAATTTTTCTTAAAAAAAATACAATAGCTTTTAATAAAACATAGCTAGAGATAGGATGGAAAACCATAAGACAGCAGCTATTTAGAAATAGTTCTTATACACTACCTGCTAACAGCTTTAGAGTTTATCACTTATTACAAGAGTGGCATTTGTTATTTAAAAGTAGTTTTTATATACTACTTGCTAACAAGCTCATAATTTATCACTTGCCAAAAAATAAAAGTATTGCACTTCTTACCCCCTTAAGAAGGGTTTATTAGTTGTTTTAGTTTTGCAAAAAAAAATATATACCTTTATTTAACAGTACAAGAGATCTTTATCTTCTTATTACCTGCTTGTCACTTTTTTAAAATTTTTATAAAAGTGAAAAAACAGTTTACTCCTATTAAAAGATTGGCATTATTTATTCCTTTTATAGTTAAGCAACCTAGTAAACAGTAATTATGTGTTTTGTATATAAATATAATACTACTTCAAAAGATAGTTTTGGTTAATAAGTTATTTAAAATCAATAATATAGCTAAAAAGAAATATATTATATTAAAACAAAGTTTTATAGTAGAGATATACAATAAGTTAGTATTGGGTAATTAAACAATTTTGATTTTTGAATACTATGTTCAAAACCTGTTTAAAATCTTGTTTAAAACCAAAATTAAATTTAATTGGTTTTGAACAAATATTATATAATACAATTTTGAATATTATTTTTAATATCTAAATTAATATTTTCTATATATTATCTATTTTATTTAGTACTATATATAGTATTTAGGTTTTATCTAAAAATATTGTTTTTAAAATTAAATAGTACTAGGTACTATCTATAACTTTAATAATTTTATTAATAATATTTTATAAATAAAATATTATTTAAAGTAATAATCTTTTTAGCTAGTGATGCCTAGTTTTTTAGCCTTTTGGACTAATCAAAGCACAAGAAACTCATATAACTGAAGCTTATATATTTATTTGATTGCTAATGTAGTTGAATAATCTTACTTTGCACTACTATACTATTACTAAATATTAAAAAATAAGTAACATGAAATCAGATTATCTCTTTAATTTGATTTATATTTGTTTTTTTTTGTTTTTTTGCTTTTGTTATGAGTTTTTTTTTGTTGTTGGTTTTTTTTTTAACCAACACTTTTTTTCTTTGAGTTAGTGAAGCTACTATAGGTATTATTATTTGCAGAGTATGACTTTTGTTATTGTTATCTTGGTGCTGTTATTTGCCGTAACTTCAAATTGCTAAAGAAGGATTTGGCTTTTAGCAAGACATACAAAAAGTTGAAATGATTAAAAACAATAATAACAATATTTACAAAAAAGCATATAAACTATCTAGCACCATTGTACTCAAGATATTAGGTAGTTCTAAAAGATTTAATTATTTTAGTTTGTTGTTTATAGAGTATAAAAATTTTGGGCTTTTATTATTTAACATTAGTAGTAGAGGTTTTGTTGGTAATTTTAAACTTTCAAGACTTTAGCCAGGTCTAAAGAAAACAAATTTGAATTTTTAAAGAAAGTAAGTAATTTATTGCTTAATTATAATTTATATCTCTTCAACTGTTTTCCAGACAAATTTGCTTGGAATTTTGAAAAGTATTTACAATTTTTTAAATAAAATTTAAAAATATTAATAATATGGGGTATACTTTGTATATACAATAATATATTTAAAACATATTCTATATACTTTATTATAAAAAATTTTTAAATTTATTATAAATCTTTAGAGTAATAAAAATTTAAAGCTTTTAAAATTTTTCTTTAAAATTTCTAAATTTTTATATGTTTTTGCCTTTAAAAAAAATTTTGCTTCTAATACAAGTTTTAATTTTTATTAGTAAATCACTAAAAGTGTAATAATAAAAGTTGCTATCCTTTATATATTATATTAAGAACTATAGGTTTAAAATTAATATTTAAAAAGTTTATCAAGAATTTGTAAATAATTTTTTTGATTAAAAATTTTTTTTAAAT